GCTTTTCAGTTAACTTAAATGAGGAAAATTAATTTGATATACAGTGGTCCCTCGCTTTTCGTAGTTCTCGGCAATCGTAAATTTCGCCAATCATAGGGGTATTTTCGTATAAACATGGACTCGCTTTTCATAGGTTGACTCGCGAATAGTAGTTCGTCCGGGATGCGTACGCACAGTGTGAGCCGGGGCGGCCTCCCTACCCAGCCACTCTGGCATTGTTTACCAGTGAATGAAGGTCCCCTCAAGTGCTCCTACGAAATATTTCATAATATTCCACTCATTTTAGTGCTTGCAATTACTAAATAAGCTACCATGGCTCCAAAGAAAGCTCCTAGTGCCAAGCCTGTGCTAAAGAAGGTGAGAAATATGTACAGTGACAAAGTCTTGGGCCATTTTCGGGAAGTGTTAAAGAGATGCCAGAAACAGAGCTCTCTCCACAGTTACTTTGCGAGACAGGACTAGAGTGACTCTCAAGGTGGTCCTAGTGGCATTAAGAAACAGAGAAAAGAAGCAACCCCAGAGAAGCAATTGGTACCTGAGGTGTTGCTGGAAGGGGATTCCCCTTCCAAACTGTAAACAATCCAATCTCTCTCCTCCTCCAGTCTCCCATACACTAAGAAGAATCTCCAATAAAGGTAAGTGTTATGCTGTTAATGTTTCATTCATCATTTCCCATTGTATTGTTTATGTACTATATGTATATTTCATGTAAAAAAAATTTTTGTTTTAATACTTCTGGGTGTCAGGAACGGATTAATTGTATTTACATTATTTCTTATGGGGAAAATTGATTCGCAAATCGTAAATTTCGTTTATAGTAACGGCTCCAGGAACGGATTAATTACGAAAAACGAGGGACCACTGTACGAGTAAATTGAGTTATGAACTAGCTCCTGGAACAGATTAAACTCGTAAGTCAAGGTTCCACTGTACTTCGGTGTGACTGGCCACTGTCTCACAGACTCGTAGAACACACAAAAAAAATGTTAGGCTTGCTGACATTAATAATGCTCTTTTCTGTCATGTTAGAGATCACAGTCATCCCAATGACTGGTCCTCTGCTAAAACTATATTATACTTCTAATCTTCACAATCGCCAACTTTCCTTATATGAATCTTAGTCCTGGCTTTGTCTCTCTTGATGCCTTCTTTTCTCATTACATTGTCAAATGCTCCAAACTTCAGAACACTCATGACTTGACCTGATCCTTTCTTTTCCTCCTTTCCCTACCACTTTCCCTGTGTTTTTGAACCTATCCCTTGTGGGCCCTTAGCTGTCCTGCAATACTTTTTTTTTCTTCTCTTTAGACTGACCCCACTTCTACTACTACATCTACCACTCCATTCCTGTTAACTAATGCTATTACCTTTACTATTGCCTCCCTTCACTCAACACTCCCCTTTCTCTCTTGTGCTACTAAACTACTCTCCCTACTTTTTACTATCTCTATTTCTTCTACTGCTGCTTCCACTACCAGTCTTACCACTATTTTTTCTACCTCTCTTGGTCCTGGCCTTGTCATCCCCCCCCCCACTTGCTTGTATATACTGGCCTCCTCACTCTCTTGTAGGAGCCATCAGTCATCTCTTCTCCTGGGCACATGGAAGCACATGGCTTCTTCTGAAAGGAAGAGGTCATGATGTTCCAAGGACTCGACTGAGGACTCGAATTTGGAAATATGGGGTGTAATTCTGGAGAAGAAGCTGCAAGACTACTCCCTGGATTTAGCGAACGGCAATACGAGTGAAATTAGCCTGGCCAGTGAGATAAGTATAGATGAAGAAATGCCAGTCCCAGCCATTGAAATACCGTACGACAAAGGCTGTCAGGAAGAACAGTCTTCAAAGTCCAAGGGAAGGCATAGTGTTTCCTTGCAGATCAGTCAAGCTAAGCCATCCATAGATAAAAAAATTCAAACTCATGAACAGAGGACACCATGACACCCCTTATGCTGCTATAGTTCACCTGGAGAGAAAATACAGCCTGAAGATATCAGTATTCCCAAATCTGAAAGAGTTTATTCTCACTCCCTGAAACATAGTCCTATGAGGTACAGCAGAGGATGAACGGCCTTGAATCATTACTCGTTCTCACATAACTAAAATCCATAGAGCAGATGTCAAAAGACATATTAACCCTTTGACTGTTTTGGCCGTATATATACGTCTTACGAGCCAGTGTTTCAGACATATATACAGTGGAACCTCAAAAATCGAACTTAATCCGTTCCAGGAGCTAGTTCTAAATTCGAAAAGTCTAAAATTCGAAGCAATATTTCCCATAAGAAATAATGGAAATACAATTAATCTGTTCCAGAAACCCAAAAATATTCACACAAAAAATACATTTTATAGAGATTAATTACAGTTTTACATACAACAAATACTATAGTTTTTAATTATGTATAGTAATACATATAAAATAACATTTTTACTTACCTTTATTGAAGATTGGTGATGGTATCTGGAAGATAGGGAGGAGGAGAGAGAGGGAGTTGGGGTTAGTGTTTGGAAGGAGAATCCCCCTCCATGAGGACTTCAGGTAAAGCCCTCTCTGGGGTTACTTCCCTTCTGTCTTTTAATGCCACTAGGACCAGCTTGAGAGTCACTGGACCCCTGTCTCACAAAATAGCTGTCCACAGTCCTCTGTTTCTGGTGCCTCTTTAACATTTCCCTAAAATGGGACATGGTTCTGTCATTGAACTTGTTGCAAAGATGGCTTGTTTCAGCTTGCTCAGGGTGGTACTTCTGCACAAACATTTGGACATCATTCCACTTGGCACAAATCTCCTTAATCTTTGAAGAAGGCACCTCATCCACTCCCTATATTAACACATTTCGCAACATCAGCTTCCTTGATTTGTTCTTTCTTTGACAGGATAGAACCGATGGTTGACTTGTTTTTCGCATACATCCTGGCAAGCTCAACAAGTCTCACACCACTCTCATACTTCTGTATTATTTCCTTCTTCACATCTATGGTGTTTCTCACTTTCTTTACCACAGGGGTACCACTAGCAAGTTTCTTTGGGCCCATGGCAGCTTATTTCACAGTCCCACAAGCACTAAACATAATGAAATAATCATAAAATGTGTGAATGAGAGCGCAGGTTAGTGTTCACTCAAGCATAAACAAAGCTAGACTGCTCACGGCACCTGCGCGGGGACGTGGACAGAGCGGGCGGCAGACAGGTCCAGTACCCGGCGGTCCGAAAATAGGGGCGCGTTCGATAATAGGGACACAGTTTGTCCGAAAAAATGGTCCTATTTTCGAAACATTTTATATGTGATACATTCGATTTTTGAGGTTCCACTGTATACTCAATAATTCTAGTGGCTTCAAATCAAGCAGGAGAAAGCTGGTAGGCCCACATATGAGAGAATGGGTCTGTGTGGTCAGTGTTTACCTGGAGTTTACCTGGAGAGAGTTTCGGGGGTCAACGCCCCCGCGGCCCGGTCTGTGACCAGGCCTCCTGGTGGATCAGCGCCTGATCAACCAGGCTGTTGCTGCTGGCTGCACGCAAACCAACGTACGAGCCACAGCCCGGCTGATCAGGAACTGTCTTTAGGTGCTTGTCCAGTGCCAGCTTGAAGACTGCCAGGGGTCTGTTGGTAATCCCCCTTATGTGTGCTGGGAGGCAGTTGAACAGTCTCGGGCCCCTGACACTTATTGTATGGTCTCTTAACGTGCTAGTGACACCCCTGCAGCTAGTGACACCTCCTGCAGCACTCAGTGCATAATGAGAAAAAAAAAACTCCAACCGTTTTTTGGATTAAAACGCCGACGTTGAGGTATATTTTCGTATAGTATTTATCGTTGTATTCTCGTTTTCGTGGTCTTATGTGATAAAATGGAAAACATATTGCAGAAATAGAGGTAATTTTGATTAGTTTCATGATGAAAACGACCTTGAAATTGAGCTCAAAGTAGCAGAAATGTTCTATTTTTACCAATGTTCAAGAGTAAGCAAAGCACACCACACATCCAATACACGTCAACTGGGGGGAGTAATATTCTTTCACTAGTGCACTGATATTATTTATACCATTTTTATAATAATGCATAACAGTAAATCTTCTATTTTTTTGTATGAATAAAAAATCAAAATAGAAAGCAATAGTAATATAAGAGGGGCCTAGAGATGTGACTAATGAACAGAGAATGTTATTTTAGTGCCAAAAATGTCTACATTGTTTATTCTGGACCCTATTTTGAAATTGGCATCTTTTTTCATTTGCGTGAAATTGGCCAAATTGCCAGTTTCTGACCACCTTGTTACGTAGTTCAAATGGGTGGTTTCTTGTACTCAGTTGATGAAAAAAATGGAGTTCTAAAGAAATAGCTATGAGTTTGGTCAACTGGAACAACGCAGTTGGCCAAAAATTAGACTCAAAGTCGGCGAAATCGCCAGTGCGTATATGTTGCCGAGACCAATAACTTTGCGGGAGCATAATTCCGTGAGTTTTCAACTAAATTTCGTACTTTTGATGTCATTACCATCAGGAAAAGATTCTCTTATCATTTCATAAGAACAATTTTTTTTTTTTTTTTTTTTTCCAAAAATTTTTCGACATAGAGTGACAGTTTCAAAAAGGGGCTTGCAACAGTCAAAGGGTTAATGCACTATCCATTAGACATGCCTCTTGATGCAATTCACAGTAACAAAATCATCCTGAAAGGTAAGCATCTCCAAGCCAAGAAGGACAGCAGCATACCTATGAGGCAGGTCTTGATTCTACATAGAAGACCTCTCCCAGCTCAATTGGATCTTGGTTGCTGGGGAACATACCAGGTTAATACCTACAATCTAGAACCTTTGAGGTGCTTCAGGTGCCACAGGTACAACTACCTCTGTGCCCAGCATCAGTTTAAACAGGTATGCTGCATTTGCAGTGGGTCTCGCCCAACCAAGGACTGCTTGGATAAACTAAAAAGAGGAGAGGCTACGGAACCTTAGTGTCTGAACTGCAGAAAAAGGCATCATGCCTGGAACCTGCAGTGCTCAGAGAGGCTCTGCCATGTCAAGGCTGCATGGAAAACCCTGGATGTCAAGCCTCCAGCATCAAGTAGAGCCCTCACCACTGAGCAGCAGCCTCGTCCAGAGGAGGCTACAGTAGCATGGAATCCAGGGTCACTTCCTCAGCCACAGTGATGAAAGAAGCCAAGGAAACATCAACAACAGAATCGCACCCTTGCTCAACCATCTCCCAATTCTCCTGCTCAAACTCCTACCCAACAACAGCAGCCAGCAGGCCTCATGCTGCAGGAACAGGCTACAGTCAACGTGTCAACCCTAACACAACAACAGTCACCAGTGGAGAGCACTGTATCCCAAGGAAGCAGTTCAGGACATCCTGTATTGCCTGAGCCAACAAATGATGTCGACTATCATGTGCTTCACCAATATCATATGCAACTTCATAGGCTCAGAAGAAAACAGAGACATTCAGATCTATTGTGAAAACCTTCATGAACATATGCATGATAGACAAAACGGAGTCCATGCATTTAATTGCAGATTTACCCAACCGCCCAACACAGAGACAATGATGGGATGCCTGATGGCCTCAGCCCAATGCTGTACATAAAATATTTTGCTGTGGAATGCACAGGGACCACAGCAAGACCCTGATCACTGCCACAGAACAGCTGAATTATATCAACATTCTTCAAGATCCTCAGATGGGTTATCTGTGCCAGGATGCAGGTCCTGACGAATCAGTCAATCAATCAATCAAACTCTCTCTTGTGTTAGTGTGACATTGTAAATGATCCAAATTGGACTGAAACATCATTGTAAGCTTCTCTCTATTATTTTCTGCTGCCACTGCCGCTGATCATCTCCCACTGAGGCAGGGTGACCCAAAAAAGAAACGCTCTTACCATCATTCACTCTGTCACTCTTGCCAGAGGTGTGCCGATTCTGCAGTTCTGATGCCCCTCCAAACTGCAGATATTCCCACTCCTCCTTCAGAGTGCAGGCACTGTACTTCCCTCCTCGAGGACTCAAGTCCAGCAAACTGGTTTCCCTGAATCCCTTCACAAAACTTTACCTTGTTTAAACTCCAACAACTTGTCATGTCCCAAAAACCATTTGCCTCCACTCCTATCTAACATCACAAAATCATAAAAACATAATTGCAAACAAATCACAGAACATGTAGGGCTTGAACCCATGACAAGTGATTCTTAAAACTCATAGGCCAGTACACTAACCACTTGGCCAGTTGGCCCTAATAAGGTTCATCTAACTAGGTATATTTCTGTACACCATAGGGAGGTTAGCATGGGCCAACACTGGGACCACAAATGGAGGTTTTTTACAGACGAGTCCCACACCAGAGTAGCTGTGGCACACACTAGCTCGTGTCGCTTCAAAGTTGCCATTATGACTCAAAATCATGACAACATAATTACAAGCAAATCAGGGAACAGGTAAGGCTTGAACCCTAAAACAGGTAAGGCTAGAGTCCTAAAACTCACAGGCCAGTGTGTTAACCACTCGGCCATTAGCTCTAACCTCCTATGGTGTATAGGTGGTTAAGTAGATGAATCTTATAAAGTTAGGTCTTCTTTCTTGGGTCACCCCCTTGGTGGGATTTGGCCAATTCGTTGACAAAAACGAAATTTAAGATGCTCCTTGTTCCCAGATTTAGTGCAGGATGCTGCTTCCAAGGGCTTGGGTGTTGTATACGAGTGTTGTTCAGAGGCAACACGGCAGTCCATGGTAGAAGGGCTAGTCCAGACTTTGACAGAAGGAAAACGCACCATCCAGAATGTTACTGATGACACAAAAATTTTCCAGGAAGGAGAGCTAGGCAAGGCTCCATCAGGGTATGTTACATGGTTGATTATTAATAGTTGCTTGCTGTGTGAACATGTTCTTCATATCTGCATTGTGTTATTTCTTTGTCAATGATAATAATGGTAGGTTGAAGTGAGGAGCTTTTTATAAGTGCATTATGACCCTTATCAGTTTCAGTATTTTTGTCTACCTTTTCTCCATGTTTCAGTAATACTAGAAGAATAAAATGACTGTATAAACTCACAGGTTTCAACAAATGAGTGTTGAATGACCCTTTGATATGCTTTTGTGTTTAATGTGATAGAAAATTGTGTCTATAATTAAGCTATCTACATGCATCTGCTTAGTCTCTTTCACTCAGTAATAACTAATGTCTGATTTTAATTTTTTATTAGGTCAAGATTATTGTTTCATTCCTTTCAATGCTCTAATTAAACATGAGCATTTCTCCAGCAACTGTGCATGAGTGTGTTAGATAGGAGTGAATGGAGACGAATGGTTTTTGGGACCTGATGAGCTGTTGGAGTGTGAGCAGGGTAATATTTTGTGAAGGGATTCAGGGAAACCGGTTAGCCGGACTTGAGTTCTGGAAATGGGAAGTACAGTGCCTGCACTTTAACCCTTTGACTGTTTCGGTCGTATATATACGTTTTACAAGCCACCGTGTTTGACATATATATACTCAAAAATTCTAGAGGCTTCAGATCAAGCAGGAGAAAGCTGGTAGACCCACATGTGAGAGAATGGGTCTGTGTGGTCAGTGTGCACCATATAAAAAAAAATCCTGCAGCACCCAGTGCATAATGAGAAAACAAAACTCCGACCGTATTTTTTATTAAAACGCCGACTTTGTGGTGTATTTTCGTATAGTATTTATGGTTGTATTCTCATTTTCTTGGTCTCATTTGATAGAATGGAAAACATATTATAGAAATAGAGGTGATTTTGACTGGTTTTACTATGAAAAAGAACCTTGAAATGGAGCTCAAAGTAGGGGAAATGTTTGATTTTTGCCGATGTTGAAAAGTAAACAAATGATGTCATTGTCCAATAAATGTCCAACTAGCCATTCTGATGTGCAGTCACAAATGGGTTAACATTATTTATGCAATTTTTACAATATGGCATAACAGTAAATCTTCTATTTTTTGTTTGAATAAAAATTCAAAATAGAAAGCAAGAGTAATATCAGAGGGGCCTGGAGATGTGACTGATGAACAAAGAAAATGTTATTTTAGAGCCAGGAATGTCTGCATTGTTCATTCTGGACCCTATTTTGAAATTGGCATATTTTTTAATTTGCGTGAAATTGGCCAAATTTCAAAATTCTGACCACGTTATTGGGTAGTTGAAATCAGTAAATGGGCAGTTTCTTGTACTCAATCGATAGAACAAATGGAGTTCTAAAGAAATAGCTATGAGTTTGGTCGACTGGAACAATGGAATCAGCCAAAAATAGGGCTCAAAGTGGGCGAAATTGCCGATTCATAAATTTCGCCAAGGTCGCTAACTTTGCGGGAGCATAATCCCCTAAGTTTTCCATCAAATTTCATTCTTTTGGTGTCATTACCATTGGGAAAAGATTCTCTATCATTTCATAATTTTTTTTTTTTTAAATTTTTCGACACCAGGAGACACTTCAGGATTTGGGGTTTCAACAGTCAAGGGGTTAAAGGAGGGGTATAGGATATTGGCACCTTGGAGGGACGTCTAAACTGTCGTATCTGAGCACCTCTGCAAAGACAGTGATTATGTATGTGTGATGGTGAAAGTGTTGAATGATGATGAAAGTTTTTTTTTCCTTCTCTTTAGGTTTTTCATTCTTTTTGGGTCACCCTGCCTTGGTGGGAAACGGCCAATATGTTAAAAAAAAAAAAAAAAAAAAAATGTACATTGCACTAAAATTATCCTTAAGAAAAATTAAAGTGGATTACCAAATTCATCAGTTCCAGCAATCATTTGTGAAGATTTCCAATCATCCTTCCTCTTATTCTTAGGGTGAAAGTTTATATAAGCTCTTTTCCTTGTGGTGAATTGGTCCTATTTTTAGGGTGAAGGTTTATATACACTCTTGTCTGTATAGTTAATTGGGTCCTGAAAAAAGCATTAGTATGGTGCTATATGTATGTAACACTGTTATGCAAGTGTATGTACCAAATGCCACCTAACAAGCCCTAAATAGTAACCTAGGATAGATGAATTAAAGTGATCAACACAAAATACAGTAGGGCCCTGCTTAACGGCATTTCGCCTTGACCACATCTATTCTTTCTGGAAACTTTCCAAAATTTCAAGTGTTTTACAGTTATTGTGCATTTTATATGTACTCTGATAATTATACTTATTTGTACCTGTACCTAAATATACTTACACATTGTGCTGGTGTCCAGGTACACATTAAAATCGCTAAGTCTCTCTCTACTCATGACGCCAGTATTACGTAATAATTATCACTCTTGGGCACATTAAATGCCTTATTTTACATAAATATAGACATTTTCATTAATCCATCTATGATGTTTTCCTCAAAATTATATAAGAAACACGTTACATAGCATATAAACATGATACATACACTCGCAGAATAAAAAATATGAGATTTATTTACAAAGCGGCTGTGTAGATAGTGTTGGAAGAATTACATTTTCTCTAGTCATACACTGGGGGATAACTGTAGAAAAATATTCCTTTCGTATGCCTTCACTCTATATATAGCAGTTCATGACCCTTGTGGGTTTAACACTTTTTATTATGATAATAATAATATAATTTTCATTCACTCTAAAAATGGTGTGTTGCATGAGAATGGGAGTGTTGCTGTTTGTTTATTCTGTACTAACTTGTACAACTTGTACATAATGTAAGAGTATTGTGAGGTAATTATTATTATAACAAAAAAAATATTGTGAGGTAAAAGTTTTACAAACTCTTACAAACGTACGTGAATGAACTAGAAGCAGACACATATTAATACGCATTTATTTTGCCTGACAAAGTAATCGCCCACTACCTGTTCAGTTTGTGTTCTTACATTGTCTGAACTCTGTATCTCATTCTCTCTCTCGTTTACTCTTCCGTTAACTAGTTGGCTCTCATTGACGATGGCATCTAAGCTTAGCTGTGATAAAAAGAGGAGTCGTAAGCCTCTTGCTTTAAGTGCCAAGTTAGAGGATGATGGTATGCCATTCTGATTTTATTCAATAAACACCCTGCCACTCACCTCTCACACATTAATATTAATATTTTAAGGTAAGTAATAAGTGTACTCTGTGTGTATCTTACCTTTTATTGTGTTTTTAATGCCTGTTTCTATTGCTAATTTAATATAAGTTAGTGTAAACTTGTTGTCTGGCATTTATTGCATATTTTATATGTGCTCTGATAATAATACTTGTGGACCTGTGTGGTAGCCAGGCGGAGGGACAACATTATGTTTTCTCTGGTCAGGCACCAGAGAAAACATGTATGAATCTGCGTTTGGCCCAGCCACTCTCCCACTCCACTTTTGTTTACAATTTTTGGCATGAATTATTCATTACTTCTCCCTTCATTTATGATGGCATCTAAAGGTAGTTTTTTTTTTTTTTTTTTTTTTTCCAACAAGTCGGTCGTCTCCCACCGAGGCAGGGTGACCCAAAAAAAAAGAAAGAAAATCCCCAAAAAGAAAATACTTTCATCATCATTCAACACTTTCACCACATGCACAATTAAATTCAGTGAACAAGGTATGTCAATGCTAATAATATGGCTCTGGGCTACCTACACTGACTTCCTACAAATAAGTACTACTCACCTCTTCCTACATTAAGACTACATGTATTTTAAGGTAAATAGTGAGTGTACTGTATGTGTATTTTAACTCTGGGATGTTTTAAATATTGTATATTAAGTATGAGATGGGGAGCCAGGGCTACCAACACCTGACTTCCTACAAATAAGTACTACTCACCTCTCGCCTTACATTAAGATTACAAATACTTTAAGATAAGTAATGAATGTACTGTGTCTGTATTTTACTTTTTGTTTTTAATGCCTAGTTCTATTACTAACTTAATATAATTTAGTGTAAACTTGTCTGGCATTTCTATGCACTTATAAATGGAAAAAATGACGTTCTGCTTTCCGACAATGTCTGCTTTCCGGTGATAGCCTGGAACCTAACCCGCCGTATAAGTGAGGCCCTACTGTATGTTTCCACAAAGACACATTTTAAGCTTCATTGTTTCTTAATTTATAAATTGAAAAGAACGTTTAATTTCAGAGCACACCTGTCAACATATCGTGAACTGTGCTCCTTGGCAACAGATCTCAATCAGCCTGATCTTATCTACAAGTTTATGAATCTTGCCAACCATAATTCAATTTGGAATTCAAAAAAGGTAATGTATTAAATTAAGTTCCTTACATATAAATATTTATTGCATATACATAGTTGATTTGTGGGGTTTGTGAGTGTATTTAAGTACTGGCAATGTTCAAGGAAACAGCAGTTGCTCTTAAGTAAATGAAATTATTGAATGTTGCAACAATTGATAATCATTTGTTTTGGACATTTATTTGGTGATGTTTGTACACAAATGGTAATTGAAATAATAAGAAATACTATTGTGACCTTGCATTCAAGTATTGAATAAAACAATGTGTTATAATAGAATTGTATTCTCTTGTTATCCTTCACCAGAAATGTGAAAAAGCAGTATAGTACCTCAAAAATTACTTTATTGATATTAATGAGATTTGGCAGGCACTTTGGACAGTAAAGTTAATGGCTTTTGGGGGAATAATGCAGAGAATAATGCAGTATCAAGGCCATATAAATTACTCATTAATAGAGATATAGAAATTGGTGAATTAGTGACACCTGAGAAGTAAGTTTGTGTAATGTTCCCATTAGTAAAGACATTGAAATGGGTGACCTAGATAATGACATCTGATGGGGGAAAGGTCATGTAAAATATTTGTTAGTAGATATCTCTGATTCTACCAGAATTGATTACTTGCTTGCTTTTACTTGTGTTATTGCCCTTGATCTGTTAATCTAAGCTGGGGCTAGTAATGCACATAAACAAACATCTATCTCTTAGCAAGACAGGTGGCTCTATACTCAAAAATCCTAACTCTAATACTCTAATTGATTTTAGGGAGCTGCATTTGGTTTTGGCACTCTTGCAACCCAAGCTGGTGCCCAGCTGGAACCATATCTACCCCAAATTGTTCCAAAGCTATATAGATACCAGCATGATCCAACACCCAAGATCCAACAACCCATGGCTGCTATCTGGAATGCCTTAGTCACCGATAATGCAAAAACTGTGAGTAGTTTATGTACTTTACTTCTCGAAATAGCTACATATTACATCTGGAATCACTGTAGATAAAAATTAAAAAATATTGGATAGTTTAATAATATTTTTGGAGCAATTATATGCATACTGTTTCTCCATAAAGCTAAAGTAAGCTTTTTATATTAAACATAAATGGTAAATTTATGGAATTGAGCAAAAACATTCATGCCTTAATTGTATATCAGTATGCTTTTTATTCCTTTTTGTCAGTTACTTCAGAGTCATTTGTAATGTTTATCCTCCACAATATCGGATATTTGGCTGTGTGAGTTGTTAGTCTCAAGCCAAAATGTACATAGGTTAGGTTTTCATTTTTGTTTATTTTAAAACTATTGCTCTGGTCACAATTAAATTTCCAAACCCAGTAGTATGGATACACACAGGAAATTTGTGGCAACGGTGCAGGAGTAACACCTTCCGGCAAACTTGGCTGTAATATCTCCATCTTTCTTCTTAGATTCTTAGTGAATATAGAACCTCCAAGGCATTGGGAAAATGGACTATACAAACTATGTATTAATTATATGAAGAATTGTTATAAGTTACAAAGATGATTACTGTCTCTCAGCTCATAGTGAAATTCTATATTTAAAATAATTTGCTACCCCAGATACTCCTAGAAAATTTTTCACAGAAATTGGCCTGTAACTTTTGACCAACAAAGTACCAGTTAATGGAAGTTTTAAACCATGTTACAGCACTTTGTTTACTTGATAAGTTTAACAGTTTAAGTAGCAAATTAGTTTCTTCCTTCATTATTATCTACCATTTTCTTTTATTATTTCTACCTTTATTTCAAGCATTACATTTTATATTTATTTAACTTGTACATTTTATAATAAAATTTCATCATAAACTATCCTCTATACCCAGAATTTGTATAAAACAAATATTGAATTTAAATTTGAGCGTGTTTGTGGGATTTTAATTGGAGTGTGGAGGGTCTCTAGTCTGCATGTTGTCCTGAAAATCCTCTGCACCAAATTCCAATCCTGCAAGTACACTTTCAATATTTGATTTTGATTTCACATTATTGCAGGGGTGGCACTAGAATTTGTGTACCGGGTTGGCTTAGGAGTGGCTGTCTGGTTAGAAAGGGAGGCTAGGAGACTTGTTATGAACCAGCATTATTATAATTACTATTTTTATTTAGGGTGCTGGGGAAGTTTTGGGAGGTTTCAGCCTTCCCTTGGTGCCACCACTATATATTGTGAGATTTAAGGTTGTGAAGAAAGGCAAACATGTGTCAAATATTTTATTTAAATTTTATACTATTGTATATACAGTATTGCTAATTAATGTAAATCCTGTACTAAATTATAGTAATTTTAAAAATCTTTAAAGTTCTCTCATGTTGCATAAATAAACCATACCATGGATGGGGTTAGAACCCACGATCAGAGAGTCATAAAACTCCAGACAGTTTTTTTTCTGTAACTATATAGAGTATGTACTATATATTTGCCATGCATCCTCTTCACAAATGCCAACTCCTACCTCAGTGGGAGATGGCTGGAACGTTAAAAAATAAATAGCATGTATTACGTAAGAATATAGTCTAATTGTGTATCATTCAGTTCCTTACAGACCTTCAAGTGACTTAAATTACTTCTTTTAACACTGATTGGCTTTCATTTACTAACTGAATGCATTTTATGATTTTTATATGGTAGGGCCAGTGTTTACAGTACTTAGATATATTTAAACATTTTACACAGTTTTGGGTCAGTTGTACATATCAACAAATGGATAATACATGATGTCATTTTGCAATTCATGGAACTTAGTTCACTGGTAATGTCATATTACTATCTATGACGTACAGATTAGGGAATCCAACCATGGATATCAAGTAGGCTAACAAAGTTTCATGATTATGACGAACCTGTAGATCATGAGGCCATACCTTATAATTTTGGAACCTACTTACTATTTATTTATGCATTTTCCTCTTTATTCATCACTCATAAGAACTGAAGAAAGTGGTGTAGATTTTTTCTTTTTTTTTTTTACAGATTGAAAAGTATTATGACCCAATCCTGTGTGACCTGATAAACAACTTGACTCATAGTATGTGGAGAGTGCGTGAATCATCTTGCCATGCTCTCACAGACTTACTGCGGAGACAATCGGCTGCCAAAGCTATACATCGTATCAAGGAAATATGGACAACACTATTTAGAGTGCGAGATGACATCAAAGAATCTGTTAGACAGGCAGCAGAGAAAACTTTACATGCTTTAAGCAAGAGTTGCATCAAGGTAATGCTAATGTGTTTCGAGTATGTATTGTTATCACCTTGAAAAAGACTTTTCTAAAAATTAAAATACTTTATATTCTTTCACAATTTGAGAAGTGTGCAAGTCTTATAAAGTAAATGAGAGTTAACATTTAAAATCTCTTTTTCATTACATATTGATACTATACCATTCATAACTTCATTTTCCCATACACCTTTCTGAGCAGTGTACTCACATTTATCTTACTAATGTTAAAAGTATTATTCATCAAATTCAAAGTATCCTTTAAAGGCAAAGACAGGAAAATATTTGCTGTGAGTAAAAAGAGTGTTAAAGAATTGTGTTCAAATTAATACTGCACAGGGATACAATTTTTTTTTTTAACACGGTTGTCTCCTACCAAAGCAGGGTGACCCGAAAAAGAAACACTTAAACCATCATTCACATTATCACTGTCTTGCCAGAGGTATGCAGATGTGACAGTTTAGATGTCACTCTAAACAGCAAATATCCCAAACCCCTCCGTTAGAGTGTAGGAACTGTACTTCCTACCTCCAGGACTCGAAGTCTGGCTAACTAGTTTCCCTGAATTCCTTCACAAAATATTACCTTGCTCACACTCCAATAGCCTGTAAAGTCTCAAGTCTCCACTCATTCCTATCTGACATGTTCACACATGCCTGCTGTGTGTCTAAGCCCTTTGCATACAAAACCTAACAAATATATAAAAGTAAAACAAAATGTAAAACAAAAGCCTGTAATTGTTTTACATGATGGTAGGATTGCTGGTGTCTTTTGTCTGTCTCATAAATATGCAAGATTACAGGTATGTCTTGCTACTTCAACTTACACTTAGGTCACACTACACATACATGTACACGTTTATTTATACACACTCATCTGAGTTTTCTTTGATTTTATCTTAATAGCTCTTGGTCTTATTACTTTTCCTTTCATATCCATGGGGAAGTGGAATAAGAATCTTTCCTCCGTAAGCCATGCGTGTTGTAAAAGTCAACTAAAATGCCGGGAACAATGGGCTAGTAACCCCTTTTCCTGTAAAGATTACTAAAAAGAATAAGAAGAAGAAAATTGTCAAAGTGGGAAGTCTGAATGTGCGTGGATGTTGTGCAAATGATAAGAAAGAGATGATTGTGGATGTTATGAATGAGAAGAAGCTGGATGTCCTGGCTTTAAGTGAAACAAAGCTGAAGGGGTGGGAGAGTTTCAATGGAGAGGAATAAATGGGATTAGGTCAGGGGTTTCAAACAGAGTTAGAGCTAAAGAAGGAGTAGCAATAATGTTGAAGGATAAGCTATGGCAGGAAAAGAGGGACTATAGATGTATTAATTCAAGGATTATGTGGAGTAAAATAAAGATTGGATGTGAAAAGTGGGTTATAGTAAGCATGTATGCACCTGGAGAAGAAAGAAGTGTAGAGGAGAGAGAGAGATTTTGGGAAATGTTGAGTGAATGCGTGGGGAGTTTTGAATCAAGTGTGAGAGTAATGGTGGTTGGGGATTTCAATCCTAAAGTGGGTAAAAATGTTATGGAGGGAGTAGTAGGTAAATTTGGGGTGCCAGGGGTAAATGTAAATGGGGAGCCTTTAATTGAGCTATGTGTAGAAAGAGATTTGGTAATAAGTAATACATATTTTATGAAAAAGAGGATAAATAAATATACAAGGTATGATGTAGCACGTGATGAAAGTAGTTTGTTAGATTATGTATTGGAAGATAAAAGGTTGATGGGTAGGCTCCAGGATGTACATGTTTATAGAGGGGCAGCTGATATATCGGATCATTATTTAGTTGTAGCTACAGTTAGAGTAAGAGGTAGATGAGAAAAGAAGAAGGTGGCAACAACAAGTAAGAGGGAGGTGAAAGTGTATAAACTAAGGGAGGAGGAAGTTCGGGGGAGATATAAGCGACTGTTGGCAGAAAGGTGGGCTAGTGCAAAGATGAGTAGGGGGGGGGGGGGGGTTGAAGAGGGTTGGAATAGTTTTAGAAATGCAGTATTAGAATGTGGGGCAGAAGTTTGTGGTTATAGGAGGGTGGGGGCAGGTGGAAAGAGGAGTGATTGGTGGAATGATGAAGTAAAGGGTGTGATAAAAGAGAAAAAGTTAGCTTATGAGAGGTTTTTACAAAGCAGAAGTATTATAAGAAGAGCAGAGTATATGGAGATTAAAAGAAAGGTGAAGAGAGTGGTGAGAGAGTGCAAAAGGAGAGCAGATGATAGAGTGGGAGAGGCACTGTCAAGAAATTTAAATGAAAATAACAAAAAAATTTGGAGTGAGTTAAACAAGTTAAGAAAGCCTAGGGAAAGTATGGATTTGTCAGTTAAAAACAGAGTAGGGGAGTTAGTAGATGGGGAGAGGGAGGTATTAGGTAGATGGCGAGAATATTTTTAGGAACTTTTAAATGTTGAGGAAGAAAGGGAGGCGGTAATTTCATGCACTGGTCAGGGAGGTATGCCATCTTTTAGGAGTGAAGAAGAGCAGAATGTAAGTGTGGTGGAGGTACGCGAGGCATTACGTAGAATGAAAGGGGGTAAAGCAGCTGGAACTGATGGGATGATGACAGAAATGTTAAAAGAAGGGGGGGATATAGTGTTGGAGTGGTTGGTACTTGTACTTTTGTTTAATAAATGTATGAGAGGGGAAGGTACCTAGGGATTGGCAGAGAGCATGCATAGTCCCTTTATATAAAGGGAAAGGGGACAAAAGAGATTGTAAAAATTATAGAGGAATAAGTTTATTGAGTATACCAGGAAAAGTGTACGGTAGGGTTATAATTGAAAGAATTAGAGGTAAGACAGAATGTAGGATTGCGGATGAGCAAGGAGGTTTCAGAGTGGGTAGGGGATGTGTAGATCAAGTGTTTACATTGAAGCATATATGTGAACAGTATTTAGATAAAGGTAGGGAAGTTTTTATTGCATTTATGGATTTAGAAAAGGCATATGATAGAGTGGATAGGGGAGCAATGTGGCAGATGTTGCAAGTATATGGAATAGGTGGTAAGTTACTAAATGCTGTAAAGAGTTTTTATGAGGATAGTGAGGCTCAGGTTAGGGTGTGTAGAAGAGAGGGAGACTACTTCCCGGTAAAAGTAGGTCTTAGACAGGGATGTGTAATGTCACCATGGTTGTTTAATATATTTATAGATGGGGTTGTAAAAGAAGTAAATGCTAGGGTGTTCAGGAGAGGAGTGGGATTAAATTATGGGGAATCAAATTCAAAATGGGAATTAACACAGTTACTTTTTGCTGATGATACTGTGCTTATGGGAGATTCTAAAGAAAAATTGCAAAGGTTAGTGGATGAGTTTGGGAATGTGTGTAAAGGTAGAAAGTTGAAAGTGAACATAGAAAAGAGTAAGGTGATGAGGGTATCAAATGATTTAGATAAAGAAAAATTGGATATCAAATTGGGGAGGAGGAGTATGGAAGAAGTGAATGTTTTCAGATACTTGGGAGTTGACGTGTCGGCGGATGGATTTATGAAGGATGAGGTTAATCATAGAATTGATGAGGGAAAAAAGGTGAGTGGTGCATTGAGGTATATGTGGAGTCAAAAAACGTTATCTATGGAGGCAAAGAAGGGAATGTATGAAAGTATAGTAGTACCAACACTCTTATATGGGTGTGAAGCTTGGGTGGTAAATGCAGCAGCGAGGAGACGGTTGGAGGCAGTGGAGATGTCCTGTCTAAGGGCAATGTGTGGTGTAAATATTATGCAGAAAATTCAGAGTGTGGAAATTAGGAAAAGGTGTGGAGTTAATAAAAGTATTAGTCAGAGGGCAGAAGAGGGGTTGTTGAGGTGGTTTGGTCATTTAGAGAGAATGGATCAAAGTAGAATGACATGGAAAGCACATAAATCTATAGGGGAAGGAAGGCGAGGTAGGGGTCGTCCTCGAAAGGGTTGGAGAGGGGGGGTAAAGGAGGTTTTGTGGGCAAGGGGCTTGGACTTCCAGCAAGCGTGTTAGATAGGAGTGAATGGAGACGAATGGTACTTGGGACCTGACGATCTGTTGGAGTGTGAGCAGGGTAATATTTAGTGAAGGGATTCAGGGAAACCGGTTATTTTCATATAGTCGGACTTGAGTCCTGGAAATGGGAAGTACAATGCCTGCACTTTAAAGGAGGGGTTTGGGATATTGGCAGTTTGGAGGGATATGTTGTGTATCTTTATACGTATATGCTTCTAAACTGTTGTATTCTGAACACCTTTGCAAAAACAGTGATTATGTGTGAGTGTGGTGAAAGTGTTGAATGATGATGAAAGCATTTTCTTTTTGGGGATTTTCTTTCTTTTTTTGGGTCACCCTGCCTCGGTGGGAGACAGCCGACTTGTTGAAAAAAAAAAAATTCTTTATGTTCATATATTGTAATTACTTATATGTAGCTATATGAGAAAAGTTAAGCTCATTGTGTTTTATCTTCAATGGCCTAGTAATGTCATGTAGGGGGGTAATGGAATGTATGGATAATTGGGGAATAAGAGAGTAATCAGAGGGAGTAGGCAGGGGATAGGCAAGAGAGGTGAGTCGAGTGACAGGAGCGGAGGTAATGTGAGATCACTGGTGACTACATCATTATCTCTACCACACTACTCACCTTCTCAGTACTTGAAATAAAATAATGAATAAAAGAATAAATATTAGGGAAAGTGAATATTACTATTCCACTCAAACAAACAGTGAATATTATTATTATTATTAAGTCCTTGTACAATAATATATTTGGGAACAGGAGAACACTATTGGGTTTAGATAAATGGGGATGGTACATATAAGCAATGAGACAGGGAATACAATCAACTGACGAAACAGAATATAACTTACAATATTGTTCAGAGGACAGTTCACCACAGGAACTCAGTCACACTCTAGCCACAGGTCCCAAGACCTACACAGCCAAGCACTGCTCCAACCAGTACTCTGCCCAGAGTCTCCAACAGAGTCTCCCCTCCAGAGACTCCAGCAGCCCTCTCCCGAGCTCTGCACACAGGCCAGAGCTCCGCTCGAATCTCTGCTGCTCAGAGCTCTGCACACCAGCAGCAGCTTCACTCGAATCTCCTGCTCAGCTGTTCCTTGAGCTTATATGATCCTCAAAGCACTCCCCTTCCCCATAAGGCATAGACCATGTGTTTTGATCTGACACTGAGATCTGACGCTGTCAAGAACAAAAGACCTGAGACCTAAGCCGAAAGGCATGTCTGACAGTTATTTACCAAGGCAAGGTGTGACCATTTACTGGTTAATTAGGTCTCCCTCAGAGACCTCACAAGCATAGTGGACTACATCACAGTAACCCCTTTTCCTGTATAGCCTACTAAAAAGAAAAAGAAGAAAATCGTCAAAGTGGGATGTTTGAATGTGCGAATGATTAGAAAGAGATGATTGTGGTTGTTATGAATGAAAAGAAGCTGGATGTCCTTGCTCTTAAAGTGAAACAAAGCTGAAAAGGGTAGGAGAGTTTCAGTGGGGAGAAATAAATGGGATTAGGTCAGGGGTTGCTAATAAGAGTTAGAGCTAAGGAAGGAGTAGCAATAATATTGAAGGAAAAGTTTTGGTAGGAAAAGAAGGAATATAAATGTATAAATTCAACGATTATGTGGAGTAAAATAAGGGTTGGGTGTGAAAAGTGGGTTATAGTAAGTGTTTATGCACCTGGAGAAGAGAGAAGTGTAGAAGAGAGAGAGAGAGATTTTGGGAAATACTGAGTGAGTGCATGGGGAGTTTTGAACCAAGTGTGAGAGTACTTGCAGTTGGGGGATCTCAGTGCTAAAGTGGGTAAAAATGTTGTAGAGGGAGTAATAGGTAAATTTGGGGTTCAAGGGGTAAATGAAAATGGGAACCCTTTAATTGAACTATGTGTAGAAGGAGGTTTGGCAATAAGTAATACATATTTTATGAAAAAGAATATAAATAAGAATACAGGATACGATATAGCACGTAACAAAAGTAGTTTGTTAGATTATGTATTGGTGGATGAAGGGTTGATGGGTAGGTAAGGGAGGAGGAAGTTAGGGTGAGATATAAGCAACTTTTGGCAGAAAGGTGGGCTAGTTCAAGTATGGGTAGTGGGGATGTTGCAGAGGAATGGGATAATTTTAAAAATGCAGTATTAGAATGTGGGGCAGAAGTTTGTGCTTCCATTTTTTATTCCAGGTGCTGTTTGTCTTCAAAAAGGCCATATTCATGTTGTTTATCTTTGACTTATTTGTGTACCATTTCTGTGTTTATTGCAAACTTTAAGTGAATTTGCATTCATATTTATGTGTGCATGAATGTGTGTGTATTTTCCAAATCAGATATAACTTATAATCTCTGCTTTATCATATATTCAGCATGTGAATATACTGCAGTTACTTATTATATAAAAGTTATTTTTGTATATACAAAAATTTATATATTTGTCAGGTGTGTGAGAGTACTGGTGAGGAAAGTGAGAAGATGCTTAAGGAAGTCCTGCCCACTCTACTGACATCAGGCATTACTAGTACTGTGCCTGAAGTAAGGAATGTGAGCCTGCAGACTGTGTCCAAATTATGCCGTACAGGAGGCTCCCTAGTGAGGCCACACTTAGGCACGTTAGTTCCAGCTCTGCTCGAAGCTCTTTCAGGACTTGAATCTCAAGCTCTTAGCTATACTTCAGTGAGGTTAAATGATGATGATAGAGAGAAGCTAGATGTGGCTCGAGTTGCTGCAGCAAGAAGCACACCTATGATGGATACATTAAATTATGTCTTGCAGTTTGTTGATGAAAGTACCATGGAGAAGTTAGTGGGAGGTCTGGTGGATGTTCTTAAGAGCTCCGTTGGCCTTGCAAGCCGTGCAGGTGCTGCTCATGTTGTAGAGACACTGACTCATACCTGTCCTGCTCCATTGGAAAAATATACAGGAAAACTCTTGGCTGCACTTGTTAATGGTCTGAGTGATAGAAATGCAGTGGTGAGGAAGGTATATGCTAATGCCATAGGTAATCTAGTTAAAACTGCAAAAACTTCAAGTGTAGAAAAGATCCTGACAAAATTACAGACTTGGTATTTAGAGAAAGATGAGGATACCGTAAGGATGAGTAGTGCTCTTACTCTCCGTAGTATGCATGCTCAAAATAGTGATATAATGAAACAGCATGCTTGCCAGGCTATGCCTCTGGCATTTTTGGCAATGCATGCTGAGAAAACTGCTGAGGGTGACCTTAGTGGCGTTGAAATCTGGGAAGAAATTTGGTCGGATAATACACCTGGAACAGAATCTGGAGTGAGGCTTTATTTAAATGAAATTATTTTAATTTGTGAACAAGCTTTACAAAGTTCAAATTGGGCAATGAAAGCTCAGGCTGGCAGAGCCTTGTCAACAATGTCTCAGAAACTGGGATCAAGTATGAATAATGATCTTGTCACATCCTTAATCACACTTCTAATCAGCAGTCTGCAAGGCAGAACATGGATTGGTAAAGAATCCCTTGTTACAGCACTCTCAAATGTAGCCATGCACACAAAGTCAATACTTAGCACCTTGAAACACCCAGACAGAGATGAACTACTAATGGAAGACATTGTTAAGGTACTGACCAGGGAGGCCAGCAAAGAAAAGATGGAATATAAGATTCATGCCATTAAAGCCCTCTCTACAGTCCTTGACACCTACCAAATTGACAGATTTGAACAGGTCTTTGATATCTGTCTGCCATACCTGACACCTGTGAGTATTTTGCATCATTGTTATTGTTTTCAGCAGTTGTCACTAATTTTCTTTAATTCACTTAAATTTTTTTTTTCAATAGTCCATAAAAGACCAAAAAACTAACAGGCTTGACTGCCCATAAGCCTTTTTTATGTCTCCAGTTTTAGTCATTACATATATTTTATTGCTTGATAATATCTCTATCAGTTAATATTACTATATTCTAACCAAGGCAAAATATTATGCTGTTTAAGGTAAATATTAACATACAGAATAATCACTGAGGTAGATTTTTATAAAAAGTCGTTATTACAGTAAAACCTCTAATTAACAGACTCCCATTTAATGGGTTTTGGAAATTACAGTCAAAAAAATTGGTTGGGCTACCATAATCATTGGGAAAAATGGAACAAAGTCCATAATTCTGGATTTTTTGTAGTGACAGTGTTCAGTGGTCTTCTAAATTATCAGACCAAGTCCAATGATTCCGACATTTGTCTTGTATGGCCACAGTGGTCACACCAGAACTTGTCTGTTTTCATTGTTCCCCGAGTTACAGGCATCTTCACCAGTTTATTGTCTGTGCAACACACACACACACACACACACACACACACACACACACACAACACACACACACACACACACACACACACACACCCCACACACACACACCACACACACACCACACACACCACACACACACACACACCACACACACACACACAACCACACACACACCACACACACACACACACACACACACACCACACACACACACACACACTCTCTCTCTCTCTCTCTCTCTCTCTCCTCTCCCCTCCTCTCTCCTCTCTCTCTCTCTTCTCTCTCCTCTCTCACTCTCTCTCTCTCTCTCTCTCTCTCACTATTAAACAGCCAAAAGTATTAAAAAAAAAATATTTTTAAAGATTAAATATAAATATACATACAGAAAACAGTGATAAATAATTTTTTTTTTTTTTTTTTTTTCAACAAGTCGGCCGTCTCCCACCGAGGCAGGGTGACCCAAAAAAGAAAGAAAATCCCCAAAAAGAAAATACTTTCATCATCATTCAACACTTTCACCACACTCGCACATTATCACTGTTTTTGCAGAGGTGCTCAGAATACAACAGTCTAGAAGCATAAACATATAAAGATACACAACATATCCCTCCAAACTGCCAATATCCCAAACCCCTCCTTTAAAGTGCAGGCATTGTACTTCCCATTTCCAGGACTCAAGTCCGACTATATGAAAATAACCGGTTTCCCTGAATCCCTTCACTAAATATTACCCTGCTCACACTCCAACAGATCGTCAGGTCCCAAGTACCATTCGTCTCCATTCACTCCTATCTAACACGCTCACGCACGCTTGCTGGAAGTCCAAGCCCCTTACCCACAAAACCTCCTTTACCCCCTCTCTCCAACCCTTTCGAGGACGACCCCTACCCCGCCTTCCTTCCCCTATAGATTTATATGCTTTCCATGTCATTCTACTGTGATCCATTCTCTCTGAATGACCAAACCACCTCAACAACCCCTCTTCTGCCCTCTGACTAATACTTTTATTAACTCCACACCTTCTCCTAATTTCCACACTCCGAATTTTCTGCATAATATTTACACCACACATTGCCCTTAAACAGGACATCTCCGCTGCCTCCAACCGTCTCCCTCGCTGCTGCATTTACCACCCAAGCTTCACACCCATATAAGAGTGTTGGTACTACTATACTTTCATACATTCCCTTCTTTGCCTCCATAGATAACGTTTTTTGACTCCACATATACCTCAACGCACCACTCACCTTTTTTCCCTCATCAATTCTATGATTAACCTCATCCTTCATAAATCCATCCGCCGACACGTCAACTCCCAAGTATCTGAAAACATTCACTTCTTCCATACTCCTCCTCCCCAATTTGATATCCAATTTTTCTTTATCTAAATCATTTGACACCCTCATCACCTTACTCTTTTCTATGTTCACTTTCAACTTTCTACCTTTACACACATTCCCAAACTCATCCACTAACCTTTGCAATTTTTCTTTAGAATCTCCCATAAGCACAGTATCATCAGCAAAAAGTAACTGTGTCAATTCCCATTTTGAATTTGATTCCCCATAATTTAATCCCACCCCTCTCCCAAACACCCTAGCATTTACTTCCTTTACAACCCCATCTATAAATATATTAAACAACCATGGTGACATTACACATCCCTGTCTAAGACCTACTTTTACCGGGAAGTAGTCTCCCTCTCTTCTACACACCCTAACCTGAGCCTCACTATCCTCATAAAAACTCTTTACAGCATTTAATAACTTACCACCTATTCCATATACTTGCAACATCTGCCACATTGCTCCTCTATCCACTCTATCATATGCCTTTTCTAAATCCATAAATGCAATAAAAACTTCCCTATCTTTATCTAAATACTGTTCACATATATGCTTCAATGTAAACACCTGATCTACACATCCCCTACCCACTCTAAAACCTCCTTGCTCATCCGCAATCCTACATTCTGTCTTACCTCTAATTCTTTCAATTATAACCCTACCGTACACTTTTCCTGGTATACTCAGTAAGCTTATTCCTCTATAATTTTTACAGTCTCTTTTGTCCCCTTTCCCTTTATATAAAGGGACTATACATGCACTAATAAAATGGATAAATGAACATTTAACATCACACTTACCTTTATTGACTTGACTTCTTGGTGTATGGTAGACACACAGGAGACAAGAGGAAGGCAAGTTTATTATGCTTCAGTATGATGCTAATATCATCTCTACAGCTTATTTATCTATAACAATTCATCTAATATGACATTATAAACAATATTAACCCTTTCAGGTTTTCGGCCGTACTAGTGCGGCTTACGCTCCAGGGTCCATGACATACTAGTACTCATAAATTCTAGCGCCTTCAAATCTAGTGAGAGAAAGCTGGTAGGCCTACATATGAAAGAATGGGTCTGTGTGGTCAGTGTGCACAGTATAAAAAAAAATCCTACAGCACACAGTGCGTAATGAGAAAAAAAACTTTGTGTTTTTGGATTAAAACAGCGACTTTTGCACTATATTTTTGTATGATATTTATTGTTGTATTCTAGTTTTCCTGGTCTCATTGTATAGAATGGAAGACATATTACAGAAATTGAGATGATTTTGACTGGTTTTACAATGAAAAGTACCTTGAAATTGAATTCAAAGTAGCAGAAATGTTCGATTTTTACCAAAGTTCAAAAGTAAACAAATCATGCTAAGCGTCCAATACACGTCAACTGGTGAGTCTAATATTCTTTCACAAGTGCGCCGATATTATTTATACCATTTCTACACTAATGCAGTAGTCTGCAAAACAGTAAATCTATTTTTTGTGAGAAAAATTCAAAGTGGAGAGCAAAAGAAATGTAAGAGGGGCCTGGGGACGTGACTAATAAACAGAGGAAATATTATTTTAGTGCCAGGAATGTCTTTCTTGTTTATTCTGAACCCTATTTGGAAATTGGCATCTTGAAATTTGTGTGAAATTGGCAAAATTGCTAAATTCTGACCACTGTATTGGATAGTTTAAATAGGTAAATTGTTGGTTTCTTGTACTCATTTGATAGAAAAAAAATGGAGTTCTGGCGAAATAGTTATGATTTTGTCAACTAGTAAATTGGAATTGGCCAAAAATAGGGCTCAAAGTGGGCAAAATCGCCGATGCGTAAACATCGTCGAGACCACTAAGTTCGCGAGAGCATAATTCCGTAAGTTTTCCGTCAAATTTCATACTTTTGGTGTCATTATGATCGGGAAAAGATTCTCTATCTTTTTTTTTTTTTTTAATTTTGGGGACCCTGAGAACAAGTCTCTAAGAAGGCCTGTGGACCCTGAAAGGGTTAATAACCTAGAAACATGATGCATGCTCTAGAATGAATAAAATATGTCATAGTGTATGAGAGGAGTAAATGGTGTAAGTGTTGTTGTTGGATTTATAAGGGCCACTGAGAGAAGCTGTACATAGTGGTGGTGGATGCACCAGCAGAATCCACCAACACTATCACACTTAAACAATATATGTACAGTGGACCCATGACTTACGATATTAATCCGTTCCCGAGAGCACATCGTAAGACGAAATTATCGTAAGTTGAATTAATTTTCCTCATAAGAAATAATGGAAATCAAATTAATCCGTTCAAGACTCCCAAAAGTCTGAAAAAAAAAAAAAATTTACCGCATGAAATATACATTTTCCTACACACAAAAAGGAGGATACATGCACAATATATATTGTGCATGTACTAGTGTACTAAATGAAGAATAAATGAACCTTACCTTTATTGAAGATGTAGTGATGAGTGATGAGACACTGTCCTGGGAGTGTCTTTTCCTCCTGAGTAATGTAGGTCCTGTTTGGCATTTTCTTCCAGAACAGGCCTTATCATACTGTCTATGCCAGTACAATTCTCAAGTATCTCAAACCAACCTTTGCTGGCCTTAAATTCACCAATATGAGCACTAGTTCCAGGCATTTTTTCCTGTTCACCTGGGTGTTAGTCGACCGGTGTGAGTCGCATAATGGGGGACAAGATTAAGGACCCCACTGGAAATAAGTTAGACAGTCCTCGATGACACACTGACTTTTTTGGGTTTTCCTGGGTGGCTAACCCTCTGGGGTTAATTGCTTCTCGGTATTCTCAATAAGCCACACCAATAACAGTCTCTCCACATCTTCGAGTAGTACAGCTGACCATGGTGCAGCAGCAGCTGACAGTGCTACAAAAGCAGCATCAGCTGACGGTGCTACAACAGCAGCAGCAGCAGCTGACAGTGTTACAGCAGCAGCAACAGCTGACCATGGTGCAGCAGCAGCTGACAGTGCTACAGTAGCAGCAGCAGCTGACCATGGTATGACACTATTTCGATAGTATTTCGCTCCCTTTTTACCACAGGGTTGACACTAGAAGCTTTCTTTATGCCCATGGTGGCTTATTTAGCAGCTACAAGCAC